TTCACGTTAAACTCTCGACATTCGTGCCTTCCAGTAGTATGAGTATCATATTGGTACCGGACCACTTTTCCTTGCTATAAAGAGAAGGTATATTGAGGAGTGACAGTTGTCAGAATGGAATGATGGTTAGTTCCTCTCATCGTAAAACTGGACTAAATGTGAAACACTTTCACAGTCATTAGCAGAATTTTCAGATATTTTATTCCACTGAACTCGGAACTACTTTATATGCTATTCCTACAATATTTTTCATAAAAAAGAATGGACAATAGGAGCGATAGCAACATACATAAGTGCTTTTTTTGAGACTTGATGTATTCTCCTTTCTGGCTAAGTAACCATTTGAGGACCAAAAGATTCTCAAGTCTAATTACATGTATTAGAAAATTCAAAAAAATAATGTTGGAAAAAAACGTTACACATTTTCTTATCAGATTTTTGTTTTAAATTCTTAAATGAATTTTAAATTCTAATTAGACTTTTATATTAGTTGGATAAAATAATGATTATGATCATCATCATAAGATCATAACAAATGACGATCACATTGTCTTAACATTTCCACACAACACACAACATTATGCATTTATTGAACTAAAAAAATATGTAGTTTTTTTTTCAGAATAAATTTTTACACTTGTAAAACAACAGAGCATGCCTAGCACACAAATCAATAGCAAATATCCAAATGATTTCAACATTTTGACCGTTCAATTAGTTAGCACTAAACTAGAAAATGCTAATATAATGCAAAATAAATTAAATCAAATTCAAATCATACACATACACACATACCTACATATATTGGGTTTAAGAAAAAAACGCAAAAAAATATGAAGTGATCAACATTTAACACAATTAAGTTTCAAAAGACAGCAGCAAAAAAAAAAGAACATTATTTAACAACTAAAGGAAATTGCATACGAAATTTATGGTGCACATGGTAATTTCATGCGAAAACACTGATTTAAATACATGATGAATTCTAGTTGGAAGTGAAAAAGAAAAAATTCTAACATGCGTAGTAGTAGTTTTGGGAAAACCATGTTGCGATTAAAGCTACACTGGAAAGAAAAATCGTATCATCAATTTGTTTATAAAATTGTGTATAGATTTTTTTAGTTTATAATAAAATTTGTTTATTTGTTATTTTCGATTTTTTTTGAAGTGCATTTTCTGCCTATACAACTTTTTAAAAACAAAGAACCAGCAAAATTGTTGTTGTTTGTTTTTAAACTTATCTTACAGTGCAATGAATTTATACATAAATACATAAGAAACCCGGCATAAACTGATCTATTCAGTGTATTTTATTGTCTTAATTTTGTATTAATTATATTGAATTTGATTACAAATGCCTTTAGCATGACAGATTTTTTATATATTCAACATTCTTAAGACGCATAAAGCTAAAATTTGTAATGGTTTAACAATATTGTCATTGTGATGGAATGGATCAGTAGACTTCGAAAGGTCAGTGTGCTTATTAGCAGCATTTCAAAGACATTTATAGTGATGTACATATAGATAGGTAAGTTTGGGATAAAAGGAGTGTATATTAGATTAGAAAAAGTTCAACTAGGCCCTTATCGGGAGAGTTATGTACTCCCTTTCAAGAAAAATGTCTGTGGAAAAAAAAACTCATATAGAAAAACGTTTTACAGTCCAATGTTCAGAAGCAAAGTTTCGTGGATTCAGTTCTGAAGCGTTCCTGAAAGGTGTACTATTTGGAATAACATTACGTTCAAGATTTGATCTATTTTCGATGAATGGCAAGTGATAAAGTGTTTCGCAACTGCTACATTCGTCAGAATCCGTTTGTAAAATTTCATATAACTATAGTTGTGTAAGTAGAGTCAAAAGTACTCTGTTTTAACCACATCACACCACTAGTCCGATATATCGTAAGGTATAATAATGTGTTATTATATACAGCCTGTAGCAGTAATATACATATATCAATAGGCTATTCAGTCGTGACCCACATAACTCATCAAGGTTATATAGAATGTATTTGGCCAGGAATCTTTTCCGCTTGACAATAATTACAGATTACTTGTAGAGAATGTGACAACTCTTCTCCTTTTTTGAAGAGCCCAACGAACTTGTATGTCCACCTAGCACTTACTGGTTAGTTAATATAGAGAGCAACCTCGATACAACCCATCTATCTCTGGTTATAAGTTGCCTAGCGCATTTCTAATTCAAAGAAGGTAATACTAACTTATGTCTGTATTATTCCATCTATTTCTCAACGTCTTTAAGAAAGAACCTAATTAATAAATAAATCCCAAATAAGTTGCTAATGAAAACCGTTGGAGATATGCAATGTGTATCCATTTCTCATCTGTCTGAACATATCCAAAGAAGTTGCTTTGTACAGCGACCTAAACTAGTGTAATGTTAGATAGGCATCCTTTTTATCCGATCTGAACATTCTTACATTATCTGACCAAGAGGGAAGTGATAGTGTGAGAGTTTAATGAAAGAAGTTCCGTCTGATTGTGTACAAAAATTTCTATATTGCCATGAATATATAAAAAATACTAACCTCGGAGTTATTCATTGTTAGAAGGTTTCTCGTCCTGCTATTGTTGGACTCACCCTTTAGTAATTAAGTTCTAAAACCAAACGTTATATTGTTTCAAAATTGTCGTTAGATTTTAATATAATTGCATTTAACGTCTGGTTAACTTTCTCAAGGTATATCTTCACTTTACAGAAATTACATTCGCTCGTCACTCTAACTGTTACAAAGTAGTGTTTCGATAAAGATGGTAATATATTTCGTTGTCCGAGTTATCGATGAAAATCCCCAGGCTCCTCTCAGTTTTTCTTCAATGTCTGCAGTTTCTATACTAAGACTAAACATCGAATATACTCCCTTTAAATTGATGATGTTTACTGTAATCGACATTTTTTAATATAGATCTCCAGATCTGTTTTGTCTTCTAGTTAAGAGCCACCAGAGCTCCAATATTCTGCTTGACTACGATCTTAAACATAGTTATTCGAGATCCTATCCAAACTAGTTTGTTAGGACCGGACGTAGACACAGAAATGGAATGGTGTCCTCTTCTTATCACTATTGTGAGGAAGGTATTATGCATTTGCGTTGGGGAGGGTATTTGGTTCTAGATCCAACCGTATCCCCCGAATAAGGCTTTTGAGCTCATAAATATTTTAAATGTTCTGTATCACTTAAAAAATCGGCAAAACTTCGTTTTATATAAGTCTTAATGTTACTTCTGAAAGTCCCCTTCAGAAAATGACTTGATGGTCAAAATTAACTTATAAACACTAATATCACGATGATACATAACTGACGTAAAGATGTAAATCCTTCCACCAAAATTTATAATCCCTCTTCTGCAGAAGTCGTGAGTTGGTAGATTTAATATTCTAACATTAATCCCAAAAAGTCATGGTCAAGCTACCACTGCAACTCTATTCCGTAGCTGTGCTCGCTGAAGAAATACATAACAAGGTTTATGATTGCATTTTATTGCAAGTCAGCCACATGATCTTCTGGACCTGGATGGTACATCAATCGAATGTTTGCAATAAGAAAGCAACAAAAGTGTCGATATTATATTATTCCAGTGAAGTACAACTCTTCTAAATATAGGTAGATATTTATAGGTATCTGTTGATGTCCTGGAATCAAGTATAGTCCTGTTGTGCAATTTTCTTGTTAAGAGATTTACGATGTTCAAGGATCAGATATAATCCATACTGCATATTCTATGGAACCTAAGAACAATTTCAGACCATCTAATTTCAGATAATGTAGCCTGCAGAAGGCTACACTGATCACAATGTTTAAAAGATACTTTTCTCCAGTGTCCACTACATAAAAGCCACCTCTTACATTCTGCTTTGTTTAAGATTTATCAGTATAGATCTTATACGCTCCATATTGGAGTATTGATTCCTTTTGAATTGTATTGTATTCAATATAGAAAAGCTTTTGTCAGAAGATTCGTCTTGACTGAGTCATATGCCATGCACCAATTATAAGGAGTCTGATAACCGAAGGCAACATATTGAGCTGTTATACTATAGATAACAAAAAACCTTAAATGGCGTGCTAAGAAAGGCACCAGTAATCATTAGAGTCGGTGTCATTCGGAAGGATATTATACAATTTCCGCATGACTTTCCAACAGCTAAAACTTTTAGCCTAAAAGTACCATACAGTAGTATCAGTTTAATTACTATGTCGAAGAGTACTATAGTATTTTTATTACTAACATTCCAAGATTTCGCTGTTACTCTCGTACATGAGTAAAGGTTCGCAGCCATTTTCCATATCTAGATTGTGTTTTTGCCGGATTTACATCAAGTTCACTTTTGATTGATATTCTAGGTCCAGTGCATTTTCAAAAATTCTTAAAATATTTTGATTTTCTTCATATATGGACGAAAATGACTTATTTCCCATAAATCTTTAATAAAACATTAAAAATTAAGTTGAATATTTTAAAGTGGCTTAAAATGTTGAAATTTTTATTCTGAAAAATTTTTTGCTAAAAAATTTCCCCCCAAAACTTTGTAAATCCCATAAATAAAAAGATTTATTTAAAAATGTTCTTTTTTGTAAAATATGATTTTTTGTATTTTTTGTTTTAATTAAAAATTTTCTTTTAAATAAATTATTACTTATAAAACTAAAAAACATTTTATTTAACACTAAGAAAGTATTTTTTATATAAAAATAACACTAAAACTATATGTATAGAGAAAAAGTTTTTTTTTATAAAAAAATATATTTATATTTTGACTTAAAAACTAAACATTGTCTTCCTTTAAGTTAAAAAAAAAATTATTTTAAGCTTAAATATTAAAGTATTTATACAAAAATAAAGTAAATTTGTTTGTTTTGCTTTTTTTAAACTTTTTACAAAAATATACAAAATTTGAGAAATTTTAATTAATTATAATACATTTGTACAGGCACTCTACAAAAGAAAAAAAAAAGGAAATTAAATGCAAGGAAATATAGTTTTGTTTTGTTACAAGAGGCTGACTAGAGTTTTGGTTTTTTGAGTAAAATAAAAGTTATAAAAAAAGGCTCTGCCTTTGTGATTTTTTTTGTTTAAGAAAATCTAACACCAGGTTGAATTTGTAATAGGTAGAAACAAAAAATAGTTGAGATTTGTTTTAGGAACTAATTTTTGGTGGTTTTTGTTATATGGCAAACGTGATATGTTTTGTCAAAAATTCATTTCCTAATGTTCGTTGTAGACAGGATAGGAGTTAAGTTCATTGGAGGAATTGCTAGAGTTATTTGTAGAGTTTAGGGAACCTTGGCAACCACCCTCTGAATGTTTGGTTAGCAGAGACATGCGAGAGAATGTTTTGGAACAATTGGTGCAGGAATATTTCTTAATGTCGGAGTGTGTTTGCAGATGGGCTCTTAAGTTAGAACGATCAGCGAAGGCTCGATGGCAATGTTGACAACTGAAGGGTTTCTCACCGGTGTGAGTGCGTATATGACCCTGTAATAACCAAGGGCGCGAGAAGGCTTTACCGCAAATATTGCACTTGCAGGGTAGAGTGTGAGTGCGTATGTGCATTTTCAAAGCCCCCAAGGAGACATAAGTTTTTTCACAATCCTTGCAGCTAAAGGACTTCTTCACTTGATTTCCCTCGGCAGCAGGACAGTGGAACTGTTGATGCTTGGTGAGTCCCGAGAAGGTGGAGTAGGATTTCTGACAATCTGGACATTGATAGCGTGGAGGACCATTTTTCTCTTTCTTAGCTGGTGTTGTGGCAGATGATGAAGCTGTAGCACTTTGTTGTTGAGGCAAGGGAGAAATATCAATTTTCTCTGTTTTAATAATGCTAGACTTTTGAGGAGTCTTCATGACATTACAGCTATTGGGCTTGACAGAAAGATCTTCCGGCACAGGCGAGGCTAAAGATTCCGGTGTCAGTGATCTCATGGAGTAGTAAGAAGATTCGGAGTAAGCTGGTGAAATGGGAGCATGATGATGTTGTGGTGGATAACCCAAAGCATAGGAAACGGCCGATTGATGGTGGGTGGGATAGGCAGGCAAAGGATAAGGCATAAATCTATGCTGATGTTGAGGCGATTGAGAAGGCATTTGTCTTACACCAATGGGTCGGTGTATAACATCTGTACGCATGGGAGGTGATACTGAGCTAGCACGTCCTCCCAAATAATGATGAGGTGGAGGTGACAAAGAACCAATAGAATCCGAGGGAGAACTAGGCGATAAGAGTTCTCCTCTGAGAGGTGAAATTTGTTGAGCCAAATGAGGATTGTTAATGGTGCGATAGAACTCAGCAGTATAGGGAGACATATGGAAATTCCAGGGTTGTATGCCATACTTAGGATAGGTGGGTGTGGGTACTACAACAGCCGCTGAAGCAGCAGCCACAGCAGCAGCAGCTGCCAAAGCAGCAGCCTGTGTAGTATTTGTATCTTCACTGTGATTATCCTCAATATCCACACAATCGATCATTTCATCCTCATCATCACACATGCTATCATCATCGGTGTGATCAACATCAACACCCTCATCTTCACAACAATCACTAACATTGATCATTTCTTCTTCGGCAGTCGTAGAGGAGGAGGAAGATATAAGTTTTATGGCCGTTTCACTGTTATCCTTTTTTAAGCTTAAATTTTCTGGTTCATCATTATCCATTTTGAGAGGCACTGTAGTGGAGTTTGTGATTTTTGTATCCATAATTATTGAAGACGACTCATCCTCCTCGAAGTGATAATGAACGGGACGTTTTTTCAAAGGACACTTGGAGTAATTTTTTTCCACTAGCATATCTTCAATGTTATGCATTTTGGTTTATTTTTATAGTTTTTTTTTTTTCAATGAACACAATATATATATTTTTTTTAAATTGTTTGTTAGAAATAATGTTTTTAATTTTTTTTCTTTAAAACCGTTATTTTATACGTTTTAACATGTTTTGTTTACTAAGATCGTTTTGTATATTTTTTTTTTTTTTTAGAAAAATTCTCAAACTCAAATGTTCTTTAGATCTTAAGCAGTAAACGCGTTTTGAATTGTTTTTTATCTTAAATGATTTTTTTTTTTCTTAAAAAGCGATGTTAACACAAGCAAAAGCAACGAAGAACTGTGCTAGAGCATAAACTATCACGAGTTTATATAGGCTGAGAAACATTTCTATAGCTCTTTATTCCTATACTCCACCAAAATTCAAACTCCCGTTGTAATAACAAATTATGCTCTACTCTCCAGCGAGTATCACCTGCTTAAATTTACTCACTCTCCTGAATTTGTTTAGTTTTGTTCACACTCTCTTTCTTCCTAAACCGGCTCTTTCCTTAATGTACATTTTACATACACACATACATAAATGTACATACGACCAGCATTTAGTTTCAACCACCAATCATTTGGCCCAATGTGTTTACTAAACCGCTATGTTTAGCTGTTGTTTATGTGTGCGTGTGTGTGTGTGCGTTTGTCGTACATTAAAACCCAAACCTGTTTGAGCATGTTCAAACACATGTTGGCTACGCGTGCCGTTATAATGATTTTAAATAGAATCATACACCAGCAACCAATAGCAAATGTTACCAATACTTCGAAACTAAAATCTTGTTATATATACCTTGATTATTAAAGATTTTAACACACTCTCTCTCTACCTTAACTCACTCTCTCTCTCTCTCCTCAAAGTTGTATACTCTATTTTGTTAACAATACTCTCATTTATTTAGTTTTATGCTCATTTTATCAGATTCTTTATAAAATTTGTTTCTAAATTTTTATCTCTTCGACTCTTACAGCTGTTGCTTATAGAATTTTTATATTTATTTCCACTATAATACTTCTCAAAAACCTTAACTTCTCCTCTTAATTCCTTGTTATGCTCTGCTGAGTTTTCCTTAGTTTTTATGTATATTTTTTCCATTTCCTGAGCACACTTTTCATGTCATTTCATGTTTATAACACCGAGTTATAGCTGTTACTCTTGTTTCTTCATTTATTGTTAGTTTTGTTCTTGTAGGATCTTTTCTTTTTCTTAGTTCTCCTTTTCCTGTCTGTGTTTATATCGTTTAAGTATTGTGGCATTTGCTCAAACTCAAGTAGTCTAAATATAGACTTCCAAGTGTTCGGAAGGACAGGTGGTCGGTCGTCCGTTGTCTTATAACACTTAGTTTTTAAGGATTTTTATTGTACGTACTTTTACGTAGTATGTCTATTTACGTTTTATTGCTTTTACAATTCGTTTTCTGTTAAGACCCACTTGAAGTTTTGTTCATAGGACTTAAGCTATAAAGTGTTTAATGTTTTAGAGGAGTGTTTTTGGAAGGATATTTTTTTAATAAAAAGTTCATTGAACTAAAATATAGAAAAAATGGTTTTTGAATTTATGGTTTTCCTCGAAAAATTTATTTCAGAGTATGTGCTTTTTTAAAATTTTGAAATGATTTTTTGGATAGAAAAATATAGCGCCGTAGTTCTGTATGGAATCTTGTAATGCCCAATCAGAGAATTTGTAGTAAATTATAAAATTGCGAGCCTCGTGGATAAATTCATTCTTCATTTAATACTCCTGTTTACTTATTTCTTATGAACCTCTGTTTAATGTTCGAAATATATATTATCAATACCAACCAAACCTTATAATTTCAGAAGGTTTAAAGAAAGTCATTTCTCTGGTCGGGATTTAGGTTTAGCTAAGAAGGGTAGCCACTCAATCAATCATGAGTGTCTCACATGGGTCCACCTAGTTGCGGTAATGTTGAAATACCCTAATGGTCGTTAGAGTCCTTTTAAGTATTACTCTCTACTTCCAGATTTAAACCATTCGGTTTGGTTCACAAAATTTAGGACATTTAAGGCATATCCGAGATAGCTCATCCAAACTAGATAGAGCAGCAAAGCCGAAACAATGTTCTCTGCTTTCATGGAATGGTGGGCAATAGCAAAGGAGGTGAGGTATTGTTTCCTCTTCCTCCTCATTATTACAATCTCTACAGTAGTCGTTACATTCGACCCCCCTCTCCCATTCTTCTGGCGTGATTGCCAATTCTTTAATGTACCGTTATGACTGATACCAGCATTCTTATCTATTCCCTACGAGAGCTTAATAATAAGCTTGACTTGGAAGCATCGTATAGAAGCCACATTAACGACATTAAACAGATCATGGGCGAGAGAAACCCACCCGGTTACCTAAAGTAACAGTGGGCGAAACCACAAAGATTCTGTGGTATGCATAAAAAGAGAGGGGGGGCTAGAGTAACGAAATAGTGTTCAGAACTACGAGGATTCTATGGTGTGACCACAACAAGAGTGGAGAAAAAGAAACTTCTTCAGTATGAGCAAGTCCGGGGATATAGTTTGATTGCACTTTTTCTAAGTGGTTACAGATGATTACGGGTAGAGCTACACAATATGCGGAGAGAATAGTGGAACTCTTGAAATTATATCAAAATATCTTAGAGCAATGTTATTCCAGATATAATATTTCTTAGAAACAGTGATTGGCAACTACATAGACGGAACTGAATTTCTCAACATCAAATGATTATTTCGATAGCGGTCTAGGTATATTCATGCAGATTTTGGATCCTTCCAAGTACGTTCAATAGTCACAATAACTTTTATTTTCTATATATGGATATGTTGAAATTGATTTTTTTTAACAATTTTATAAAGAAGGTCTTTTCAGTTATCTTTGAAAACTTAATCGATTGTCAGATTCTAATGGATTAATATGACCTTTACAATATGAAATGAGTAATGTAAAGTTCATCACAATTTGTTATGAAAAACATCTGGGTCTCTAAATCACATTTCTACACAACTTTGTTACAGTTTAAAATTGAGATGACTGTCAGCAAGGATGTATGCAAATATTCTTTGTAAAAGTGTTGAGTATGGAAAATATAGTTCATAAATATTGTAATATTATGAATCAAATATAAATATAAGATACAATTCGTAGCACTTTTTTGATCCTTACTTGATATAAGTTCAAAAGTATCCCAGCCAAAACTCGATAAAAGTATTTAAATAAGCAGTGATTTGTAAGCGAGCGTGGTAAGCAAAAACCAGCAAAAACTCGGTAAAAGTACTTAAATAAGCAGTGATTTGTAAGTGAGCGTAGTAAGTAATTGCCTCAAATGTTATGACCGTGTTAAAATGCTAATGAATAAGTAGTGAAAAGCGGCTTTCTAGCTTTTTAACTCATTACTTTTTAATATTAACAACAAAATTTAGTCAAACTTTTGCTACTTTATTCAGCAAGTACACCGACTAAAACCTAAATAATTGAAAGTAAAATTATTATTTGCAATTTTAATTAATTACTCATTTAAAGACCTTATTTTAATAATTGCAAATATATGCAATAAACGTTTCTACTCACATAAAACATAGAAAACATGTATGTACAAAAAAAAAAATAGCCCGAAAACCCATTCTAATTTATAATGAAAACAACGGAAAATTTAACATATATATATTTTTTTTAGGGTGGTACTGTGTTGATCGTGTTTTTATTTATATTCAATTATTTTATCATATTTGTTGTACATATAACAATTTTTTTCTTGTTCTATACAGTTCCATATTTTCCTTAAAAACAAACCGAAAAAATAACAAAATTGAAAAAAAAAAACTATATAAATTTTAAATTAAATTTTAATACAAGGAATTGGTTAAATTAAATGTGCACTACTCGACTTCTAACAACTATTATTTACTACATACTAGTATTGCAAACATACTACCAATACGTACGTTTATAGTAGTAAAACAACAACAAATTTTTAAACAAAAACAACCAGAAAATAAAACGAGACAAACAGACGTAAAAAAGTGAAAAAAAAACGAACAGAACGAATGAACATGAACACCTGGACAATATTTAAGTTTAGTGTTTGTTTGTATTGTTGTTGCTTGATTTTTTAAATATTACTAGTTTGCAAATGTAGTAGTTTATGTTGTTGTTTTCTTTTTTTAAAAATATACCAAAAATAATCATATTTATACAAAATTTACATATACCAAAGCATATTCATATAACAAATCAACAACTATTTACCCGTTTAACAAACGTTTGAATTAACGAATAACAACAACAAAACATATCCAGACAACAACTACAACAAACTAATATCTTATTCATATCAACTGTTTAAACATGAATAATATAAAGTTATAATTTTCCAACTTTACTAAACGAGCACCAGCAACAACAACAACAACAGCAGCAGCAAACCACCAAAATGTTCAAATCCAAACGATCGTTGTTTGATCGTCGTCTGTGTTTTATGATCAAAAAAAAAAAAGACAGAAATCAAAATCAAACCAAATCATTCATAGTACCTACAACAGACACACACACAGCTAGAACAACAACAAAACAACTATTTATCGTTTCGTTGTTTAAAACGACAGGAGTTTGAATAAAAATTGTCGACGAGTTAGTATGACTCAGTTGGTTAAATGTTTTGTTGGTCTGAAAATATTGCTGCTGCTTAGTCTGTATATCGCTAACTGATTATCACTGCGATCGATAGCTTAAGCACGTTCACCATACAAAGTATTTTATTTAAAGAGTATCTGTAAAATATTGATTGGTTTATGGTTTTATTCAAATTTAGGGAAAGAGTTTAAAAATAAGTGTTATTTATTGATTATATTTGTTACAGCATTTTGATATTTAAGAGATACGTTTTAAGAAATTTTAAGAGTTTTATCTTTTATTAGGTATTTAAGAGTTATAAATCGATATGAAATGGCAATGAAACATTTAAGTTTTTAAAAGAGAATATATAGTTAATTATTAAGTAAGAGCTTTTAATATTTAAGAGAATTTTTGAAAAAAGTATTTAACTCCATACTGATGCTTTGTATGGGACCTTATTTTGTAGAATGAACGTTTTGGCGACAAACAATATTCGATAAGATTTGAGACATTGTG